CTGCAAAATGGCAAGAAGCCATGAAATCTGAGATGGACTCTATGTTTGAAAATCAAGTCTGGGACTTGGTTGATTTGCCCGAAGGTTACACACCTATCGGTTACAAATGGATTTTCAAGTTGAAAACCGACAAAGATGGAAATGTATATGTATGCAAAGCTAGATTGGTGGCAAAAGGTTGCAGGAAAATTCACGGTGTTGATTATGATGAAACCTTTTCGCCAGTCGCCATGCTTAAGTCCGTCTGGATTATCCTAGCAATTGCCACATATTATAATAATGAGATATGGAAAATGGACGTCAAAACTGCCTTCCTTAATGGGATTTTGGAAGAAACTGTATACATGAAACATCTGAAAGGTTTTGTAGAACCAAACAATGCTAGGAAGGTATGCAAGCTTAAGAAGTCCATCTATGGACTAAAGCAGGCAAGCAGAAGTTGGAATTTGCGGTTCGATGAATCCATTAGTAAGTTTGGTTGTATCAAGAATCCAGATGAGTCTTGTGTTTACAAGAAGGTCAGTGGGAGTGACATTGCATTCCTTATCTTATATGTTGATGACATACTGCTCATTGGAAATAGCATTCCAATGTTGGAGTTTGTAAAGGCTTGGCTTGGAAAGTGTTTTTCAATGAAGGACTTGGGAGTAGCGCAGTACATATTGGGCATCAAGATCTATAGGGATAGAACTAAAAGGACGATTGAATTTAGCCAAAGTACTTATATCTATAAGGTACTTCCACGATTTAATATGGAGGAAGCCAAAAAAGGCCACCTACCAATGTCACATGGCATAACTCTAAGCAAGAAATAGTGTCCGAAGACACCTGATGAGCGAGAGAGGATGAGTCAGATTCTATATGCTTCGCTTATTGGATCGATCATGTATGCCATGATATGTACTAGGCGAGATGTATCGTATGCCTTAAGTGCTACGAGCCGACACCAAACAGACCCAAGAGAGGCGCATTGGACTGCGGCCAAGAATATCCTAAAGTACAAGCTTCCAAACTGACAGAGACGACTTCAAGTCACAATTAGGATACGTGTTCTGTATTAATAGGAGAGCGTTCAGTTGTAAGAGTGCTAAGCAAAGCATGACTACAAATTCTACAACTAAAGCCAAATACTTGGCAGCTTCAGAAGCAGCTATGGAGGCAGTTTGGATTCGTAAGTTTGTTTGTGAACTTGGTGTTGTCCCCTCAGTAAAGGAACCAATATACCTCTACTGTGATAATAGTGGGGCTATTGCTCAGGCCAGAGAGCCAAAGGAGCATCAGAAAGTCAAACATGTCACGAGGCGATTTCACATGATAAGGGAATGGAAGTTCGAGGGTGAAATCAGAATTTGCTATATTGGAACGGAAAAAAATGTAACCGATCCAATTACTAAACCTTTGCCTCAAGTGAAACACAACAAGCACGTTGATGCAATGAGAATCAGGCATATTGGAGATTGGCTTTGATTTCCCTGTTTGTGTGTTTTAATTAAGTTGTGGAGATCTTAATGTAAAACACTAAGTTAAACCATTCATTTAAATAAACTAAATATTATATGAATTGCAGTTTGACAAAAGTATTAAATAATAAAAAAAAATGATTCTTTCTTTAATTTGTAATCCATCTTGATCTTCAATAGCTATAAATCGTCATGAAAATTCTAAGTACAGTGGTACCTACATAAGTGTACAGAGTAAAAAATATCACAAAAAGTAAATAAAAAACAAATAAAAAAGTAAATCAATTGAAAAGTAAATGAAACGGAAACAAAAATAGAATACCTTAAAAACTACTTGTTTGGACAGTTTCTAAGCTACCATAATGTGAAACACCAGATTGCCCACAATATCTACAAAGTCCTTCCCTTTTTGGATTTTTCTTCAGAGGTTATTTCTTTGGAACTTTTCAAGCGTTTAGAACTTCTAGCAGATCCTTTGTTAAGGCATTGTTTGGAGGCAAGATGTCTACATTGACAGCATTAGATCCAACAAAGAGCTGAATATCAGCTTCTTTGCTTTCTTTGTAACTTACACCTTCACCATTTTTCTTTTTCATAATCTCTTCCTCAAATGAAGACAAGTGCTTAACAAAATTAGACAGATCAACCTCACAACCCTCTCTTAGACTAACACAGGAGAACATTTTCGACCACACAACAGAGAGTAATTGCTTTTTTTTTGTCAAAGTTAGAAGCCTCATTGACTAATGTAGGTTTCTTCTTAACATCTTTCCTCCAACGATTCAAAACATAACATTCAGGAATTTCAGATACAGTTTTACTTTTCATTATAAATACTATATGTCTGCATAGAACACCCTGACTCTTAAACATCTTGCAAGTACAAGTACAGTCTAGTGTAGATAAATCAAAAGTAACATCAAAATTCCTTTGATGTTCATTATCTACAACAATAGTAAAGTCAACTCCATCACCATAATTAGAATTACAACTCTCAACACCACAAGAAAAACAAGAAGCCTCACATACTTGTTGAAATTCATAGAAAACAGAACGGGTGTAAACTAAAGAACCATGCTTCTCTAATATTAATGTAGTGATCATCAGTTGAGGCAAATCATTGTTCAATCTATTTTATTCATGTTGTTCATGCCTCTATCCATCTAAGGTTGTTTCGTACCGAAGTAAAAACTCAACACAAGAAACATGAGGGTTTATGAAATTACAAAAAAAGTTGTTTTCACCCTCAGATCTAGAGGTAGATCTTAACAAACCACCCATAAATAAATCCCTAAAATAGATATAGATGCTTAATCTTGAACATAGAAGCAAACCATTCATGATTTACCAAATTAAATTGTTCCATCACAGTATTCCAACCATCAACAAACACATTAGGTTCAATTTCCCTGTCCCAAATAACAACACAAAGTTCTTTCAAAAAGTCGGTTTCATTACAGAGATTTGTACCCACTTTCTCAACCACTTTCCTCGTGATGGGCCACATACATAATCGATGTTTGGTTTTGGTAAAAACTTTCTGTATTGCAATACCCATTGCAGGGTCTTGGTTAGTAATAAAGCAAAACGACTTATTTCCCATACACTTCAAAAAAAAAGTATGAAAAAGCCAGACAAAGGATTCCTCATCTTTTTTAGATAACAAGGCTGCACAAATGTGACACGTCGTTTATGATGGTCAACTCTAGTAAAAGGGCAGAACACTAAAACATATTTATTTGTATCTTATGTGGTATCAAAAGAAATAGAATCCCCAAACAACTGAAAGTCTTTTCTACCAATAGGATCAGCCCAAATAACTCGTGCTAGATGCCAAGTTGCATCAACATAATAGTCCAAATAATAACCACCATTACTGTTTTTGACTTTCTGTTCAAGATTTTGTATAAACATAGCCTAATCCGCATCAGAAGTATAAACTTTCAAGTCACGATAAAAAATTTTAAATTGATTTTTAGTGCCTCTCACATGTTTATATCCTCCATAATATTCTTTCATCATCCTATATGACATCACAGCACCAATATTCAACTTTGAATTATCAAATATAAATTTCCTATGAACATAAGTTAAGCCATCATCTTGTTTAGTGAGCTGGCTGTGTAATACTCCGTATTTTTATAATATTTTATATATATTAATTATTTATTTTATTTATGAATTAAAATGATTCATTTCATTTTAAATGAATTAATTATTTAAAAATAAAATAAGTGTGTATAAAATAATATGATTTTTTAATTGGGGCACTAAAGTGTTTTAATTTGGGTCAACATCAATTAAAGTGTTGGATTAACTTGTTGGGAATCAAAGTGTTCTTAAGAGCCCAACAAGTTGGTCTCAAAGGAGAATTCAATGAGGAGTATGATTAGTAATGGCAATTTTGTAAATAAGTGTTTTTATTTTTTAAAAGGTGATATAAATACCCCAAAACCTCAAGAATTTCACACACAAGAATCAAATTGTCAGATTACAAGACCCCAAATTTTTCCTCTTATTTTTCTCTCTCCTTTTTTCTCCTTTCTTTTTCTCTTCTCTTTCCTACGCCATTATCTCCTCTTCTCCACGCACCACCGACGACCACCGGTGCCACCACTGACCATCGGCGACCACCGGTGGCTAGCAGTAGCAACGGTGACCACCAGCCGTCACCGTGCGCCTTCTTTTCTCTCCTGTTTTTGGCGGTTCGGTATTTAAAGGAAAAAAAAAACTCTTTTCTCCTAATTTAATGTCTAAGTTGTCTTAATTAATATAAGGCATGATTTTGATTATATTTTGATGTTGATGTTGTTAATTTATTCCTATAATTTTCAGATTTTAATTTAATAAAAAACCCCTAATTTAAAAACCCTAGAATTTGGGAATTTAATGTTTATGATTAGGGTTTGATCCTAGGTTGTTGTGGTTGTCAAATTAATGATTAGAACATGTTTTTAATGAGTTTTAAGCCCTCAAATAATGCTAGACTTTAATTATACACACTGCTTTTTAATTAGGGTAATGATATATGTAGTCCTTAGGGCTATATATAAGCATTAAATATATTTCCTAAAATGGAAATAAGTTGGGAATTCATGACAAAATCACGCGCAGATCGATGTAATTAATGTTACTTTATTTTCAATATTTTCTTTCTTAGGGCTATGTTTATCATTTTCCTTTTAATAATTATGTTAGGGTTTGATTACCCATAAAAGGAAAAAAAGGTTCTTGATGATTTAAATATGATTTCCTAGTCTATTAGTGATGTTTTATATTAAATAAGTATGTTGGAATTTTATTTAAGTCATGAAAATTAAGTTTTTTTTTGAAAGGATTTAAAGTACTACTACAAATCCCTTAGTTTCTAGACGATGTTTGCTCGACGCCAGGTAACAAGCGTTAGCATAAAATTTAGTTTATGTGTTTTTTCGATGCTTTTCTACGTCACAATTGGGTCTTGACACAAAAAAGCGTCGTAAATTAACATGCCTTACTGCACGTGACTAAAATCCATCCCGAGACTTCAAAATTTTAGGGAAAAAATAAGCGAGCTTTTTCATCAGCACAATTCTACAGCCCACAACCTTTAGTTCTCATCAGCACTACTTTCCCACAATTAAACCCTAACTTTTCTATGGTTACGATCGATCTCATCTGATCTCTTAAACCGCTTGAAATTGTTGATTTTTCGTTCCTCTCTTCAGTATAATCTTAAATTATTGGTAATCCCCTCGCTCTTGTCATCAATTTTCCGTAATCTCCTTGTTATTGGCATCAATTTCGTAGTTTTTGGTTGATATATCACTCAAATTAGGTTGCTTATGAGGCATCAATGTCAGAGTATTGTCCACTCTAAATTTTCCATTGAAGCGGCTTCCGAAGCTTTCTCTCCTCTATTGAACTAGCTTCTGAGGTATGATGTTTTACCATTAAAATCACCGAATATCAATTTTACAACTTAAGGGTTTAATTTCACTCTGACATTTACCTTTAAAGTCATTCTCAAACTCTCTCAATCGGTTTCCACCACCACACCACTGACATTTGCGACGAACGACTGCGCTCAGGCCATGGTAAACGGTGATGCTAATCCGGCCACGGTGTAAGTTATTCTACTAAATTTGTTTTCGTCTGAATTGTGTAATTAGGGTTCTAAATTTTTGTTCGTCTCTAACATTGCTGAAACCGAAATATGTTTATATATTTTTAAATGTTAAATTAGCTTGATGTGTAATCTCCTATGGTCAAAGCAGTAGATCGAAGCAGAAGCAAATACCTAGCCGCAGAGGTTTTTTCCTCGAATTTTTAGTTATTTTATTTGAATTGTTTTCTGTAATTTTGTTGATTTTTAAGTGTATATTGAGTTTGAAATTTTAGTTGAATTCTCTAGGTTTTATGTTTTGGTTAATATGGTAGAAATTTTCTGGATTATATTTTTTTGTTGAGTATATTTGGTGGTTTTGAAGCATTGTTGTTGCAATTTAGATTTTTTTTTGGGTTAGATTTTGCATTTTCATTTATTTTTGTCACAAACTAGTAAATTATGCTCTACTGTTGTTGTTGCCCAACTAGGGTTTTGCAGTGAAACTTTTCTACAAATTGAGGTTTAAACTGTTAATAGATAAAAAATATATATATATATATTTTGGTGATTGGTTTCCATCAAAATTGTAGAAAGAACAAGCATGATGAAATTCTAGTATTTCGATTCAGTGTTGTTTATACACTATATAAATCGTTATCAAAGTCTTTTTTTGGCTGTCAAAATTAAAACTAGAGAGAATTATTTTTTTCTTTACGAGGTCTTTTTCTCACATTTATGTTGTCTATTGTGGTTTTGTATATACAAATCTGTAGATATTATCCAGCAACTTTTTCCATTCTGATTTGTATTGGTTAATCTATCTCTGTTAGCAATGAAAAGTAGGAGCTGCTTTTGTTTCTTTATTGTTTTGAATGGATGATTTTCTACTGCTTTTTCTGCACATTTGTTTCTATCTCTCATTTGTTTTATCCTTAGTTACACAGTAAAGAAAAAACAAATTGCTGCTCCTTCGCCTTTTTTTTATAAAATTATTTGGTTTAACATGTAGATTGCAGCAATGGTGATTCTCAGCATCCCAAACTGGAACTTCCTGGTACTAATTACATGCCCCTGAATCGATAGGTATTTTATTTAATTTTTATAAAATGCAGTTTTCAAAACTCTATCAAAAGGCAAAGAGCTCTAGATATCTTCTAAGATCAAGATATTGTATATATCTTCTCCCAATGTTACCCATATAGAGCTTTAAACTTATAGTCAAAGTTTTCAGGATAGTGCAAGAAAGGCCCATAAGCCTTATGGGGAGGAAAATGGATCTGCAAATGCAAGTCATCACCAAAATAAATGTTGGTTATAATCTCATAGTTCCTAATATTGAGTATTGTTGTATTGGGTGATTAGTTAATAGTTTTATTATGTAATAATATGTATTATTGTTGAACATTTCTATTATAGAATATGGATTATATTTTCTATAAACTATTAGTTTTACATTAGTTTAACACTAAAATGGTTCTCCTGATTTGAAGGATGAGCTCTTGTGGGCAACTACTTGATTGTACAGAGCCACAAATAATGACTACTACTTGCAGCATGCATCTTACAGTGCAGCCAATTTAGGTGGAGCTGGTAATTCAGTCAAGATGTTCTCTTGGGATAACAAGTATGCTAGTGTATAGATCCTTCTAACAAAGGTAATTACATTGAAAATTTTTGATTATATATTTTGAAGCAACACTACCCTGTCATAATTCTTTGGAGTTTTGCATATTAACGAAATTTCATAAGATCATCAACCTGTTAGGTAATGTTCACTTGCTTATTATATGTAAGAACTGAAAATTAAATGCAGCACAAACTTGTATTTTATAGGTTTTTCTTGGATGGAGATAGTCGAGCATATAGTGACACTCTGAAGCAATACAAAGCCAAAGCAGATTTCTTTGTTTGCGCTTATTTGCAGAAAAACAATGGTGACAATGTTCCCATGACTCCAGGTCAATCTTCTATATCTATTCTTATTTGTAATGTTTAAGATTTTGGTGCATATGCACTGTCTAATGGTACAGATGAGACCGAGCTTAAGCTGACTATTTCTTTCCTTGTTCTTATGATTAGGAGGGCTGGTATTCCTACTCGCGTCAAACAATTTGTTGGTAACTTTAGTGTTTATATTTGTTGGTAACTGATATCTTACATACGTCTTAGCTTTTGTGCTGCCACTTGATGATGCTCATGACTTTTTGTGTTGGTGAAAAAATATGTGTGCGTATTTGGTTTATGTATGGTAGTGTACGTGTGTCTTAGATTTTTGCATGTGTGGAAAAAGTGTGCAATGGCAATGTGGCCTTCTAAACTTCACAGGCCTTTGCATGCTTGCTGCCCAAGTTGTATCTTGTTTTTGTGCTTTCTCCATCATCATACTCTATTTTTTATGAAAAATTTTACTTTGCCATTTATTTCATCATTTTTTCTTAGAAATGTTTTTCAAGTACCAAACTCATCAAAAATAACACTTATACCATTGCATTCCTTTAGATAATTTTTTTACCCCTGTATTTCTTCTAACAATTAAATATTATATACTTATTCATTTTTCTTTTTTTTTTAAGGTTATGAATGCAACATGAGAACAAAGGAAACCTACTGAAGCTGGAAATTAGCCTACTATGCACCTTCATTTGTTTATAGTTAGTTAGATAGTAGTTAACTTATGTAGGCTTCAATCTAACTTTTTAATTTAGTTGGCAGTTGATATATGTAATAATAATTATGATATTTAAGACATAGCTAGGTTTTTTTTAAACATCCATCAGTGATAGTATGTAGGCCAGGGATTGGATTTCAACTCTTTTTTGTTCGTTAATTTTGATAGAAACTTTATTAATTTTATATATGTTTTATACCTTGTTGGTAGTGTGCTTGGTGTTGTTCACGTGGCTGAGCCTATTATACTCAGCATTTCGTTTGCCCTTTGGTTGCTGCTGCTATTTTGTTGTTATTTCCTGTTTCTTTTGCTACTACCTTTTGGCAGTGGCTTGGTCTGTTGCTGTCTGCCTAGTGTTAAGCTTCCTGTTAATTTGCTGGCTGATGTGCCTATTTTTCTGAGATTTGCTACTTGCTGACTAAAATATGGACTGTTGTTCCTGCCCTTCGCCTGCTTCCTTCCTTTCGCCTACTTCCTACCCTTGCTTTGCCTGCTGGCTACTGATGCCTGGGTTCTTCTGAAGTTGCTTAGTCTGAGTTGTTGTTCTTCTGTTCTGGTTGTTGTGCTGGCTGCTGACCCTCATGCCTGCTGCCTTCCTCTCTACTAGTTTGGCTGCTGCTGCCTTGTGGTTTTGCTGTTGCTGGCTTTTAATGTTGGCTGCTGCTCGTCTGATCTTCCCTGTTGGCAGCTACCGTCTTGAGCTTGGGTGATATTTTGCAGCTGCTTCCTTGCTGGTTTCTCTACTTGGTGTGCTTGAAGCCTTTCTTGCTGCTTTTAAGTTGTTGCTTAGTTTAGCTGCTGCCTTTGTTGCCTTGTTGGTTTTTTTTTTTTTTTAATTTGTCGGTTGTTTTGGATACTTGTTGATGTTGGTTTTGGTATTCTTTTGCTTTGGTGGTTGGTTTTGTAAAGAATATTTTTTTACTGCTTTGCAAATTTCCTTGGCAATATAAATTTATTTATTTACTAAAAAAAATATTTGAAAAAAAAATGTATTTAAATTATATAAAAAAAACAGTAAAAAAAATTCTAGACGCTTTTTCTTGTCAAGAAATTATACTTTAACCAATTTCAAAATTTCCCGCCACTATTTTTGTGTGGACATCAAAAAGCGTCTCAATTGATTTTGGGATTAAAAACAACGTCGACAATATAGATAGGAAAAAGTGTTTAGAAATGTGGTTGTGGGGCTTGAATACCGATATTTTTGACGATTAGCATATTTTATTAAACATTAATAAGTGTCGATATTGAAGACAGTTAAAGGCGTCACAAATTATTGGGACATAAAAGGGTGTCGAGATTTGTGACGAAAAGGCGTCACGAATTTCTCAACTCACTTTTTCTCGACGCTTTTATACAGCGTCGAGAAAAAAAAATAGCGACGCTTTTCAATGCCGTAAATAATGGAAAAAAGCGTCTCAAAAGGACAGGATTTGTAGTAGTTATTAAAGAAAGGTTTTAAGGCTTTTAAACCATTAAATTGGGTTAATTAGTGAGGATTAAAGTATATTAGTTGCTGGAAATTTGTGAGAATAGTGGATTAATTATAGTTATGTATTTTTATTTGTAGGGAGCTTTGAGTTAGGTGATTTCTAGCGAGTGTGGCCGAGTTTAGGCACTATGCAAGGTACGTATGTGCCTAAAAACATTTATGTATGCGTTGTATCATGCTAGGATTGTAAAGTATGTTTCAAGTGATGAATTAGTAGCATGTTTGGTTGATTATATGCTTGGAATTGATGTTCGTTGATCATGAATTATTATGCAAGCATGTGAACATGTTATTTGAGGCATGATACAAGTTGAATATGTATGAAACATTGAAGTATGTTTATTTTCAAGTATCAAGGAAGCATGAATTTAATAAGCCTTGCTTATGTATGTTTAAAAGAGCTAAAGTTAGAATTATTGATCATGATTCATGAATTTATTTCTCACCCATATATTATTGGAGTTGAGTCAAGAAGATAGTTATTTATTTACTCACTCATATAAGTTAAGATTGAGTCAAGGAAGTTTATTAGTGCATCTTATGCACCAAGGTAGTAATAGTGCAAATTTGTGCACAAAACTAGGTAAGGAACCTTAATTAAAATAAATTGTATGTGCTCACTAATTAATTCAAGAATGAAATGGAAGTATGTGTTGATTGTTGTTATGTTTGTTCTTGATTAATTGGTTGGAGTCATCACAAGTTTAATTGATAAATTACGTAAAGTGTAAGAGGATACGCACCAAAATTCTTAGAAGGAATATACCTTGAGTATGAACACATGGGGGAGTTATGTGACTTTATATTTGATCATAGCTTCTACAAGGGTACAGGATGTTGTACTTTCTTTTATTATTAATGCTCTGGAATTCTGTCATAAAGTGAGATAGTAGGTGCCAACTGGGGTATCTCCCTAATTGGAAGCTCAATATTTAAATGGGCTATTTTTAAGGAAGGAAACCCATTCGATGCGTGATCCAAAACTATTGTTTAATAATTAATATTGTTAGTTATGATTCAAAGGTAAGTTGACTTGTGAATTGTATGGCAAGAATGTTTTAATTATTTATTGCTAGGATATTCATGTTAGTGTGATGAATATGTACTCAGCTTTTGCTGATTCGTAAATTTGTGTTTGTGTTTGTGTTTTTCTTTCCTTTAGATTGGACCTACTATGACCCATTTATATGGTGAGTAGAGGGTTAAATAAAGAGGAAATAACATGTACTTGAAGCATGAGGAGCATGATGGGATAGAGTACAGAGAGTTACTTGTTATGTTTCTTAGTTTGATATTTTGAATTGTTAATTTATTATTTGTGGACTAACGTTGATATGTTTTGTTTTAAGTTGGTTTTAAAAGGGCCATGTTTATATTGGTTCCAACTTGTGGACATTTTATTTTACTTATTTTTTGAGGTTGTGAACTCAAGTTTTATTTTAAAAAGTTTGTTCTTAGTTTTAGACTTCCGCTGTGTGACTTTGAAAATAGCCATAACCGTTATTACGGTGGCGATAATATTTTGGTTATTTCCAAAAATGCGTTTTATTTAGAGTAAAAAGAGTATTTTAAAAGGAGGAAATTTCCAAGGTATTACATTCTGGTACTAGGAGTTGAAAAGGGATGACAATAAATTTCATAAAAGAAATAAACCATATACTTTCTACCATCACAATACCTAAACTTGATCCTAGCAGGACAATCAATTCTCTTGACTGTCTTTTTCCTAAAATCAGCACCTTCAACATCTTTTTGACCTTTCTTATTATCAGTGACAAAACCTTCTTTGTTACATAACAAAAATTATTAACTATAACTCCCTTTTCGCCATCAAAACCAATCAACTTCTTTTCTACCTTGCTAGCTAGTACTACTACGGATTTAAAATCCACATTCACTAGCATACTTAGAATAACAATCAATTCCATCTTGAATACAATCAAATTTCATTCCAAAAACAGAATTCTTTTCCATATAACAACCAGGAATAAACTTTTTACCACCTTTAGAATTATAAATTGTCCTAGGAAGTACATGATGAGAAGGAATTTTTAAAAATGCTTACATTAACATATCCATCTTTAACATCAGGAGAAGACAACCCAACTGTTTCAGGCATCATCCTCAAAAGTAGATGAATCTATTCAAAAAGTATATAAAACATCACTAATAGTAAAAGAAAAACAATAAAAATTGAGCAAATGAAATATTTATAGAATTTTTAAGTAAATAGAAAACTATAAAAAGTAGAATCGAAAATAAAAAAATGCATCAAATAATCAAAACACCACTTGATAACACCATAGCCAAATAAGCTCTAGCAATAAGATCTACTGCTTGATTAAGACAATTTCATGAACATTTAAAGGCAAGCTTCAACACATAATCCAGCCGAAAACCTTAACCGAACCAAAAACACTAATAATTAAATTGAGTAAACAACAACAACCTACAAAATCATGAAATTGTAAAAACTAAAAACAAAGGGAAAACCCTAATTTATAGGAAACTCAAGAAAAAAATACATAAAACATAAGAATTTGAAAAAATTAGCTCTCCAGAATGATCGAATAACAACAAAAACAAGAACGTAGAGGAAGAATCGAACAATTTCAAAATCTTTATGAATAAAATCGATGAAATCAAAGAGCGAAATTGAAGAGCAAAATCGCCTTTCAGAGAGTTCGAAGGTAGAGAGAGAAAGTAAGAAGAATAGAGAGAAAGAAAAAAAACCTACGACAAAGTTAGAGCGAAGGTCATTCTCCCTGCGAATTTATGAAAATACCCTTAATGAAGCGGGTGAAGTGTAGAACATTCGATGAAACTCGATGGACAACTCAGATCAGTTTCTAATTCCTATTATTCACTTGGTTTCACATAATCTCATATATATATATATGTATATATATATATGTATATATATATATGTATATATATATATGTATATATATATATATTTATATATATTTTTATTATATATATATTTATATATATGTATTTATATGTATATGTATATGTATATTATATATTTATATGTATATGTATATGTATATATATGTATATATATATTATATGTATATATATATATATGTATATATATGTATATATATGTATATATATATATACATATACATACATATATATATATATATACAGGGTCGGGATCCGGTGAGACCATCCCCCTATATGAGACCATCTCTTATATGAGACCAAATCTGGGCCCTTGAACTAAATAGATCTAACGGATGAAAAAGCGCATAGTAATGGAAAAATCAGTAAATACACCACCTAACTGTCATCTCTCTCCACCTAGCTAACTAACTTCTCTCTCCACCACGAAGCTTCATCAATGGCGGCTAATCAGTAACGTTGTTTCTCATTGCTTCAAATTGCTTCATCAATTGCTTCATCAAATTAATCATAAGCAAGTTCACACCGACCTTGCTCGCCTTGCGCTACAAATCATCAATTACTAATCGCATTTCCATCGCTGCTACAAATCAAATTCGCTAGGTGAATTGCATGTTAATTGGATGATAATTTTTTATTTTTTAGTTTGTTCTGTTCTTATTAATTTGCATATTTAATTGCATCAATCACCAGGCTATTGAATTGCATGTTAATTGCATGAGAATTTTCAATTTTTGAGGTTTGTTCTGTTCTCATTGAATTGCTTGTTTAATTGCATCAATTATGGATTTGATTGAATTTACTTCTTTG